ACGAAGAGTGTTTCTAGAGGTAGTGTGAATGAGAAACTTTGGTATAATTATTTGAAATCGCTTTAATATCAACAGAATTAACACGCAAACGCATATCGACCGCCAACGCACAAACAGAGGCCAACAAACGAGCCTTTGTTTCGTCAACATCATAATGTCGCCCGTTGTGCTGCTTCCGCGACAGCGGCTAAAAGTTCCCATCCCATCCCTTGGGCCTAAACCGCCCAACATCAACCTCCCACTCACTCAGACACCGAGTGTACTTTGCTGATTTGCATTTTCGACATTGTTTGGCCCGATGATGACTGCCACGCCTCCGTCTCTGATGGAACCCATTACCAACCATATCCAACCAGCCCCATGCCCCGGCACTTGCCATCGACGGCAATTTATGTGTTGCATTGTTTATGACAGATTTATCGCAAGTTAATGACATGCGACCGCTGATTTATGTAGCCAACACAAATATGCCAGCGAAATGACGCGGATCTGACAGACGAACGCATACTGAATGGCAGCTGAATGGCAAGGATCTGTCCGCCGCCCGAAGCGTTAATGAGCACACCTCTGAGGATCGAAGGGGAATATATTCCATTTGATCCGCAAGCATCGGATGATTGTGCTCCAAGGAGCACTGCCAGGGAAGTAAAGAAGCTACCGGGGAGTGATTATTTTCGCATTCACACAACTGCAGATAATTTGTTGATTCTTTTCCGTTCTTTCGCGTTTTTCAGGGGCTTAAAGAAGGGTATATCCGGTTTGAGATGATGTTTGTAACACTTCAATTCTGGAACTATATTAACCTTTAATTTCTGTTAAATGACTATCAGTATTACAATTACAAGAAACTTATATTATTTAAAAGGTAATTTAGAAAAGGGCATTTGTAGTCGACTTACCTTGTAAGTTTCCCTTGTTCTTATTGCAGTTTCCTTTGCTCCTGTTGCCTGGGTGCTGTAATTTTAATAATGAGAAATTGTCAGCGCATAAAATGAAGTCCAGACAACGACAGCTGACACAACAACCCACAATGGCAGTAGTGGACCAACGAAGCCAACGACCATCCCCAGCATCCAATTCCCAATCCTCCGCCGCTTTTAATTTAAAGCTTTTGCACATTTACGCGTCAGCTGCCCGTCTTGTTGGTGTTGTCATTGTTGTTGTTACGCTCTCGTATATAATAATAAGTGCGCGGCAAGTCCTCGCTCTTCTTCTTGTTGGAACTTCCTTTCTGGTCCTGGCCATGCAAATATTTATATGCCAACGTTGAACTTTGTTGATTACAAAAAAAAAAGAACAAGAAAGTAGCGAAACGAAATGGAACGGAACACGAAGAACGAAGGAACAAAAGTGAAAAGATTTTTTTGTATCCTTCAGATAGGTTTTTTTTCCAGTTGGTTGAGTTATTTTCATTTTTTGTAGTACATAGGGAAGTAGGTTAAGAGAAAACACAATTTTTTTAAGGCTTTCGTTTGCTTCCTTTGTAGGAATAAGTTTATTTGGCCAAAGGTCAAGAGTAATATACCCGAGAGTGATGTACTCGTATATATATCATATATATATATATATATGCACGATCCTTTGCGTGCTATGAGAAATGGCCCAGCGAATTCGGGGCTCCAGTTTTTTGAGGTCGGTCATATATTTCAATTAAAGTTGAACATGCAAAGCATAAAGAATAAAAATTCCGGCGGCTTGAAGTCAAATAAATTTTTTTGGCTTGTGTGAAATCCGAAACTCCAGAGCAGAGCTCATCGTGTGTTGATGCTAATAAAAGATGATTTATGCGTGTGGAAAATGAAGCGAATATTCTCGGCCAACTTCCCAGGGAACTTTGTTGTGGTTAATGCGTGCGACTTGCTTCCTGGCCAACCAAAACAGCATGGCAATATCGACTTTCCAGTCGAAGAGGAAGAGCTAGTAGAAGAGGGTAATTAACACGCTGCACAACAGCAGCAGCTAAGGCAAGGGCAAGAGGCAAGAGGCAAGAGGCATGAGGCAACCACAACAGAAAAACACCACAGAAAACAACACCTAGAACGTCAGCAAGAACAATGCATAAATCTACTTTCCTGGTTCAATGCGCCGGCTGCGGTTGGCTTGAACGTGATTAGAAAAGAAAAACCAAAAGCGAGGGAGCCCCACACATACAAGAACTAGTTTTTCTTTCTTTCCTTACCTTAGCATAATGGGAAATCGAAGCCGCAGCAAACAACGGTAAACGGTAAAAAGCAGCCGCAACAGTAGAAATAGTAGAAAGAACTTCAGCTAACCACGATGGTTAGCAATGGTTAAACCGGGGGTGGAGAGGAAAGGCATGCAGGCAGCCAAGCTGAGGAGGAAGCTTAGAAAGTGCTGGAAACTGAAGCAGGGCAAGCACAACACTGTGAAATGAATCGTTTCGGCCTTTTAGGCTCTTTTCTTCTCTTCTGCAAAGAAAAGCCAAAACAGACTGGCTAAAAGCAGCCAAGCGCGAATTATGCCCATGAAACATGTGTTGTAAAAGATACACAGCGAGAGAGGGAGTTAGCAATTGAAGTAATTACAAATGCACAGCCATTCTGCATTCTACATACATTCTAAATGTGCCGAACAAAGGCACAAATTTTCTGAAAACAACATCATACAAAAGCAACGAGGTGGAGTTGCATGAATGAAAGACCCAAATGCATATACAAATAAATTAGCAACTAAACAAAAAACAAAGGCAAACTGCTGGGGGAAGCAGCTGTGCGATGTAATTATGTAAAAATGGAGGGCGCGTGCATCCACACATGTGTTTCTGTGTGTGTGTGCTTGCTACCTCTGCCTGGCAACACATTTGCACATTTCATTATTTAACAAAAAAAAAAAAAAAGAGGAAAAAAATAAAAAAGACATGGCAATAAAAATTCTGCCTGGCTCACTTTTATTAACATCCATTGAGAGCTCCCTGCCCTAAGCAGTGCTCATTATGCCAACATCAACGGAAAAGCTAAAGCTCCGGCCTCATGTCTATTAAAATTAAAATGCGCTCAGCTCTTTTTTTTAATCTTTCCATTCGTAAAGTAAGAGAACCGAAATTGCCACACAAAACGTGGAAAAGGGGGGTTGGGTGGTGCTGAGGGAAGGGAAACTGGTCTGCCACTTCAGTGATTTTCAATATGAAAATGCAGCCAGACAGAGCTGACAGACAGACAGACAGCCGGCCAAAATGAGGGGAGTTTGGGGCTGGTCTGAATGCATGTTACCGCATGCTTGGATGAATACGAATGCAGGAGCATTATGTGGCAACAGTCAGGGATTGCGGTTGCAGGCCTATGCAAATTAGCAGATATATATCTCAGCCATTAACGCGATACATAGTAGATAATAGATAACAGATAACAGATTGCTTGCATTTATCGCAGCAATTTAAGAAATTTCACACTAAGATAATGTCTTTTAAAAAACAAACTTCTCATGAAATATCAATATTCATTTGCATTTTAAATTGAATAATCAATTTAAAAACTATAAAACGACTCTTAGAGCAACCTCTTTATAAAATTAAAAATATTATTAAAAATATCTACTTGATCTAGAACTCTTTTCTGCTTAAATAATCAATTGAATTCGAGCCAATTAATTATATTTCTCTGTAAATTTTCCCAATCACTCGAAACAGCTGTCGATCCATGAGAAATATTAAGTGGCGTGTACTGAGGTGGCGAGGTGGCAAGCAAAGTGTTTCGATAATCTCTGCTAAACATGCCATGTAAAATGGTGAACAGATTGTAAGATGAGGCGGAGCCCAAAGCATGGAAAGTCAAATAAATATTTGAGAAAATACAACATAACATATTTGGTATTCATTCAATTTCGTACTGGGGCCCCCTTGCCCTGGCCGGCCTATGGACACAAAAAGGCAATTGAATTAGAAATTCTTGAGAAGTTGTCAGTTTAGATAACTGGCAATTTGTATGCGGCGAGCAATTAGAAAATTTTGGGCCTCAAAATAAAATAACAAAATAACAGACACACACGAAAGCGACAGACAGACAGAGATGAGCTGTTGAATTTAGTGAGCCAGATTTGGCCATGCATACAAAATAAACAAAGAAAATACAAAGATGTTTCCTTATTTATGGGTAAAGCCCTAGTCCTGCAGAGATATATATATATATATATATATTCGAATATGTAGATTTGCCAAGTTTATTTCTCTTTCCTCTTTTTTTGTGCATGTGGCAGGCAGGAAATAACCGAATTACAGGACACGACCTTTACCATTTTGACCCAGGCAACTGCAAAGGGTTGAAATTTGTTATTTATTTGCAATCTGGGCTTAGTTCTTAATTATTTTCTTGAAACTGTTTTGTAACCAAACAAGAATACATTTTGAATTTTATTCGATTGCCCGAAATGCTGGCAAAATTGAATAATATTATTCTACAAATTTGAATATACTTTTTGGTAGCATTCTCTTTTTTTTTTACATTTCTCTTTTTTTTCTGGCAAAAGCATTGCAAGTGATTCATGTCAAGTTGCATCACTCAGCCAACGTAATCCTTTGGCCGCCTCTTGTCTGCATTATACGCTCTTGACTTGCAAATTGTTTGCGGTTATGGCTTGCATTGCAAATTCTAAGTAACAGCCAGCTTAATTAAATTAAGCATACACATCCAGCCACGCCCTTAAGCGGCTATGATGGGGGCGACATCGCTCATGAATAGGCATTACGTATACGTAATTTAAGTGGCTTACACACACGTGTCATCTGCACATACACACTTCACATGGACACGGCTTGTTTGCCACTTTTGCATATGTATGACATAATTAGTGTCATAATGACACACACACACCCACATATGTATGCTGGGCACTTGTCTAGCAGGCTAAAAGTTGAAAAGTCTCTGAAGAAATGGCACCGCCCTGCCAGTCATTTGGAATGCTAATAAGATGCCCACCCTACTTTACGCCCTCACCTACATTCATTCTCACTCTAATTTGCATATTTTTCACGCTTTCTTTTGCAGTAAATTACTTAAAAATACATTAAAAATGTTCAACCGGCTGCAGCTGCATCTGTAGTGGACGGCAGAATACTACGGAACGGCGGAAAGGATAAGGCTCTTCCCTCCCTTTTTTTCTTCGCTCAACAAGGACAGTTCCTGAGCAAGGTAAGTGAAAACAAATATTATTACTTCTCTCCTTCATTTGCTTATAAATATTCATTAACAATTTTATAATTTATCTCCGGCAAGCATAAGCGGCAAATAGAAAAAAAGAATCCTTTGGCATTCATTTATTTATATATCATTAAATATTACAAATATCAACTGAAGCTCAGTTTTCATTTAACCTTTTTTTGTTGCGGTTTTCTGTTTAATTGAGCATAAAGCGAACTACAAATATAAATAAATTGCATTAAATAAATATGTAGGGTTGCCAAGGGAAATAGAAAAGGCAAAGGAAAAAATTACTGAAATGAAAACCGCAATTATTTTCATAAATGTGCAGCGCACTATAAAAAAAATAAAACTAGAAAAACGATCCAAAAAAAGAGCACACACAACACTTCTAAATTTTCACCACTTTTCCCAAAGAGTTCATAACTTTTCTCACTCACTGTCAGCCTCACAATAAAGCCCCATCCAACCTCCATACACACATACACAACCATTCTTGGCACTTGTTGTTACTTTTTTATTACCACCTCTTACCACGCTCTCTTTTCCCTTTTTTTTGTTTGTGAAATGCAAAATGCGAAAATGCATTGTGACAGCCATTTTTTTTTAAATGTCAACAGGAGGAGCATAAAAAATACGTATACACCACAAACACTTTGTCGTTGGTGTGTTGCATAAGGAAAAACACTTTTTAAACATTTTCAGCTGCACTTTCATGGGCGTCTAAAACAAAAACGGGGCGAGATGGAGGAAAAAAACGGTTGAAAAGCTTTACGCGGTGGCGGCAACTATTAATGTACTTCTGTTTTTTGCAAAACACTCGTATGAGGGTGTGTGATATTAACAAATCACAACGCGCAATTCTCGAATTGTCACCAAAATAAAAAGAAGAAAGGATGTATAAAGAAAAACACTTTGCCCCAAGCAATATGCAACACTTTATCAGTTTTTTTAGCTTAACTGCAGTTCCAGCAATTTTTTACCACATGCAATACAGTAGTTATCCCAGCTGAAAGACAAATTATGCGTTAAGGCTGCATCCCTGCGGCTCAAAAAGAGCTGAAGAATTTAATTAAATTTGCACAAAGTTAGCAGAGGGCATGAAAAACCTAGATGACCAGAAACTCTGGAAAAGTCCGAGCGCACTGACAACCTAAATCTGAAAAAGGACAACCGAAAAAAAATTGGTGAAAAATGTTTAAATTTTGCACATGGTTTTCAATTTGACGCGCTCCTAGAAAACACGAGCTTTAGAGCGAACTTAATTGGTTTTCACCAGGCAAAAGCAATAGCAACGGCTGCTAACCGCAAATTAAAATAAAAGCGCTGGCTGGATAAAACCAAAGGCCAATCTCGTATTCCGCCCAGCCGAAGAATAAGCAAAGCTCTGACTATGGCTATGGCTATACAAAATTTAAATTGCATTGGCATTGAAAATGCCAACGCGAATGCCCCCCCATCGAATGCAGTGTGCAGCACGTGGCAAAGGACAAACACACAATGTTCGGTGGCTTATTTGACTTTATGCAAATTGATTGCATAAATAATTTATGATTAAGGATCGGGCAATAATTTGCCAATTTAAATGCACAATTAGTTTAATTGATGCGCTGTCACACGCCCACCAAAAAATCAAAAACACAAAAAAAAAACCGAAAGAGCCGGAAAAAAGTAAATACATACAAGAGTCGACCCGTCAAATTGCTGCAATCCAAGCGAAACAAACTCGGCGACTCTGTATTTGACAAATAAATAATAAAATGTTTATTTCCATTTCGAAAATTGTTGCCATGTTGACAGTCCCGGCCAGTACATAATTATGCAAAATTCAACGCCATTGCGAATAAATAAATAATATAAAGTTCCAAACAAGCGACTGCAATTAAAATTAAAAATTAACAAAATATTTTTGCCAGCATTATAATCGCACACACGCTGAGACAGGCACACACACTAACACTGAGTAACATTAACACCCGCACACATGCATGGCATCGAGTTAAAGCTCATTAAATTTGCATTTGCATACGAAATACATAGTTTCAACACCTCCCTTGCTATACCAAAAAGTTACCAACCCATTGGCAATCCCATGCAACACCACCAACATGCCCTTCTTAGCCAGAAATTATATATAGTATATATTTTAACGAAAAACCAATTAATGCAGCCAAGCGGGATGGCTGCTTCTGGTGATGTTGGTCCTGCAACTGAAATATTTTCTATATGAAGGAGCCCATTTGCCAAATATGTAAATGTACAAATTTTATGTGAATTACCAACAAATTATATGATATTTTTATTTCGTTGGTTTTTCCACGTCATTCCGGCCAAAAACTCACAGCCAACAATTATGCAAAATATTTGTGTGTGCTTATGGCAGCTGGTGTTTGAAATATTAAAGTCTAATTAAAAGGAAATTACCAGTTGGAGTTCGTCATAATAAATAGTTTTTATAGGAGGAAAAATTCTAGTATTCCCAGAGTATTCTTAATAATCGCTTTAATCCAAAGAAGACTGAGGAAATACTATACTGGCAGTCATTTTTAAACCTTTTAGTCTTCCACTATCTCTGGGTCCATCAGAACTTTTTTTATTTACTTGTGTTCTTTATGCAGTTTTCAGTGAATGTGGAATCTGGACTTCCCCATGGAACGGTCGTTCATTAAGTTCGAGTGTTGGTCACAAACGTTGCGCATAAAGTGCACTTTGCGAATTCGCGCATTTTTATGACAAGATTTCAGCTTTTCATTTTCATTTTCATTTGAAACCAAAAGGCCACGCAACCAAACTCGGCACCCACATCCCGTCCACCTATTAAGGCTGTAACGAAATTTCTTCTTTTTTTTTTCTTTTATTTACTTTCTTTTATTTGTACTTTGATTTAATGGCCATAAAAATGCGGGGAAATGCGAAGGAGCAAAGTGAATGCGCGTGCATAAAAATCACAAGGCACGCTGTGAATTTTAATACAACGCTGCGTATACGTAATGATTTCACTTGGTCGTCGCCATTTTGATTTTTCATTTGTCCAACAACTGGCGGTAATGTTGTTGTTGTTGTTGTTGTTATTACTATAACTACCACCATCAGGCGAACGAACTGCTGACTTTAATTCTCCCTTTTTCACCCTGCAATTGAAACATGAAATTGCATTTATTGTGCGGCAACAATGCAAACAGGACGAACTGGATCCTGGATCGTGACAGGGGAATCCTGGAATATTGCCTTATGACACCCAAAAAGTAGGCAGAGATTTTTGATTTATCACCACAGCACCGCATGCGTATGTGTGTGTGGCCTTGCATAAGGGCATTGGCATATAAATACTTATGTACATAAATTGAAATGAAGTGCCAGGCACTTTTGTGACCGTTTCAGAGATTTTAATCTTTATTTATCGCCATTGCGGTTGGCATTGTCCCAGGGCTCATCCTGCGCTTCCGCGGCTGAATTTATGTTAAGCAGCGGCATTACTCTCTCTCCCAGTTTTTTTTTTTTGATAAATGTTAATGTTTCTATAAAAGCGTGTGAAGCATATATCAACACAAACGTCCATTTTAAATGTTAATCAAAGCGGGGCCAAAATCTATCAATATTTATACATATTTAATGCTTAGCCCTAGAGGCCAGCAAAAGCCAAAATAAAAAAAAAGGAAAACTCTGAATAACAATAAATAACCAAAATCAGAATGGGGAAAAAAAATCCCGAAATGGTATGGTTTTGGGCCGACAATGAAGGGCAATCAATAGTTTTTTCTGGCCAATGCGAAAACCAAGTCGGACATTCATCGGATGTGGTGACGGTTTGTCGTCCGTGTGCAACGCGTTGCATAAAGCAATCAGTGCAAACATACACACAAAATTGTGCTCTTACAAATAAATATTGCATTGGGGGATTGGGATTAAGCCCTGTCACAGATAACTCTATTCGCCTGGAATGATTTGGTTTTTTGTATCTTCAATTCGGAAGCGTTACGCGGAAATGTGTTTTGTGTTTGTATAAAAATGTATAGCTTATGCCAAAAAATGTTCAAAAAAAAATCCAGAAAAATGTCAATTAGGGTATGCATACAGTTTTTTAAGTCAATTAAGCAAATGGTTCGCAAAATATTTCCTGGGTATTGAAACAGAGCTTAATAACATTAACTTTAATTTGCTTAACTTATTCATATTCTTGAAAACCCAAAAGCTATTCCTAAGAGAAAAGTGTTAAAGTTTTCCGACGCCAAACCAACAGCAAATGGCGCCAAGAAAACTCACTAAAGTGTCTTAATTATCAATGCAACTTTAGGATTTCCGTCTGTTGCCAAAAAATTATGGCCCCTATTGAACTTGGCCGAACCAACACCCCGACCAAAAGGCGCAATAACCAGAGCTTAAATGGCCAACTAACAGCAGGGTCGTGTGCGTTTATTTATAACAAGCGCAAAATGTGCACAATTAGCGCTATATATGGTATTGGGCCTATGGAGGGGATATTCTGCCGCCATAATCATGGCAAGCATGCCATTTAAGGCCCCAGAACTTTAAACGTGACTCACATTTCAAAGAGGGAAAAGGGAGCTGCTGGTTTTCCTCTTTATTTGGTTTGGTTTGGTTTGACTTGGGGCCTGCTGCGGGCTGCCGGCGAATTAAGCTGCATACAATAAAACAAAGCGCAAATTATGAGGGCCAGCAGCGGCGGACAGGAACAACAGCAAATAAATGGAGACGACAGTCTGAATAAATAGAAATCAAGAAAGCATAAAAATGCCCAGCGAGACAGCGGGCTGGAGACAAAGCCAAAGTTTGAATGCAGCGGTACGAAAAATTAAGTAGTTGCCAGAACCTGTCCCCAGTTTCCCCAAGATTGAAGACAGCTCAAAAGGGAACTGGGCGAACCTGGTGCTCCTCCTTCTCCATCTCCATCTCCATTGCTGTTGGTAATTGAAGTGTACGCGTTCGTCCCCTGGCAATCGGACTTGGCCACACTTGGCGGATTGTCGGTG